ACTGTTAACCACACTGTTCTGGTGAATACCCTCATGTCACTCGGTATTAAAGGTCAAGCCCTGGAATGGTTTAAATCATACCTGTCATGCCATTCTCAAGCTGTCTTGATAAACGGCTACCTTTCAGATTTTGTACCACTTACATGCGGAGTTCCACAAGGCTCTGTGGGCGGGCCCACGCTTTTTTCGTTATATTTAACGGGTTTGAAGAGTATTTTTCATCGCCATTCTCTCTCTTATCATGTTTATGCTGATGATATTCAAATATATACTTCTTTCAAACCCAATCAGAGCAATGCAGCCAGCGCTATCCATAACATTGAGACTTGTGTACAAGATGTTCATAATTGGTTAAACTCACATTCACTGAAATTAAATCTCGCCAAATGCGAATTTATAATGTATGGTTCTGAGACTCAGTTAGAGAAGATTTCTTCCATCACTTCAATTACTCTTGCTGGACATGAAATTACCCTATCTAATGTATGTCGCAACCTTGGTGTGTTTCTCGACTCAAACATGAAAATGTCTACTCAAATTCAATATGTCTCAAAATCAGTACGTTATCAGTTACGCAATTTGGGTTTTATTCGTAAATATCTTAACCGTGGTGCCACCGAGAAAATTACTCATGCTTTGATTTCTTCTCGCTTGGATTTTGGTAATGGCCTTTTGTTTAGTTCGCCTCACAACCTACTCGCAAAATTACAAAGATTACAGAATGCTGCTGCTCGTGTCGTGACCCTGTCCAACAAGTACAGTCACATCCAGGCGCGGATCCAGGATTTCTTAGGGGGGGGGGGCCCAAATTTGAAATTATGCGAGCCAAATATTGGTACGTTATGGTGACCAACAGTGACGTAATGCGGGGGGGGGGGATCGGTGCAGGGGGGGGGGGTGCGAGTTTCCCCCTCCCAGGCTTTGACGTTTCATTATATTATTAGAGAAAGAAGACGATTCGTTGTACCGTTCTCGAAAATAATTCTCGTCTGAATTTAGTTTTCCCCCTCCCGCGCGAAGCGCGGAAAATTTTACGACTTATTAAATTATTAGAGAAAGAAGACGATTCGTTGTACAGTTCTCGACTCTTAATCCTTGTCTAAATTCAGTCCCCCCCCCCTCCCCCTCCTGCGCGAAGCGCGGAAGCTTTGACGTTTTATTAAACTATTAAAGAAAGAAGACGATTCGTTGTACCGTTCTCGAAAATAATTCTCGTCTGAATTTAGTTTTTCCCCTCCCGCGCGAAGCGCGGAAAGTTTTACGACTTATTAGAGAAAGAAGACGATTCGTTGTACAGTTCTCGACTCTTAATCCTTGTCTAAATTCAGTCCCCCCCTCCTCCCCCTCCTGCGCGAAGCGCGGAAGCTTTGACGTTTTATTAAACTATTAAAGAAAGAAGACGATTCGTTGTACCGTTCTCGAAAATAATTCTCGTCTGAATTTAGTTTTTCCCCTCCCGCGCGAAGCGCGGAAAATTTTACGACTTATTAAATTATTAGAGAAAGAAGACGATTCGTTGTACAGTTCTGGACTCTTAATTCTTGTCTAAATTCAGTCCCCCTCCCCTCCCCCTCCTGCGCGAAGCGCGGAAGCTTTGACGTTTTATTAAACTATTAAAGGAAGAAGACGATTCGTTGTACCGTTCTCGAAAATAATTCTCGTTTGAATTTAGTTTTTCTCCTCCCGCGCGAAGCGCGGAAAATTTTACGATTTATTAAATTATTACAGAAAGAAGACGATTCGTTGTACAGTTCTCGACTCTTAATCCTCGTCTGAATTCAGGTTCCCCCCTCCCGAAGCTTTTAATCTTCATTTAATCATAAGAGAAGAAGACGATTCGTTGTACAGTTCTCGACTCTTAATCCTTGTCTAAATTCAGTTCCTCCCCCTCCCCCTCCTGCGCGAAGCGCGGAAGCTTCTACGTTTCATTAAATCATTAGAGAAAGAAAACGATTTGTTGTACAGTTCTCGACTCTTAATCCTCGTCTGAATTCAGGTTCCCCCCTCCCGCGCAAAGCGCGGAAGCTTTTAATCTTCATTTAATCATTAGAGAAGAAGACGATTCATTGTACCGTTCTCGAAAATAATCCTCATCGGAATTTAGTTCCCCCTCCATCCCGCGCGAAGCGCATAAGCTTTTACGTTTCATTAAATAATTAAAGATTCGTATTACCGTTCTCGCCTCTGAATCCTCGTCTCAATTCAGTCCCCCCCCCCCTCCTCCCCTCCTGCGCGAGGCTTTGACGTTTTATTATTAGAGAAAGAAAACGATGCGTTGTACCTTTCTCTATACTCTTAATCCTTGTCTGAATTTCAAAGAGGTGGGGTCGAGGCGGCGGAGCCGGCCCCGGAAGCTCAGGGGTTTTAGGCGTTTAATTAAGATCAGATGAGCATATTTTTGTGTATACCTTATTATTTTGTGACAAGTCACTATTTGGCAAGTCACTATTTGACGTGGGGTCCAGGGGGCGGAGCCCCAAAAAATCAGGGTTTTTAGGCATTAAATTACCGTCAGATGATCATCTAAGGGCCCGCCGTAGGGCCCTAGATGGAATCCAGGGGGCAAAGCCCCCGGAAGCTTAGGGGTTTTAGGCATTTAATCACGGTCAGATGAGCATATTTTGATGCCTCGAGGCTCTCGATCCCCGCCGTACCTCGGGCCCTGACATGTAGGAATCTCAAGAATCATATTTTTTGCCTGGTTGTAAATTTAGGAATTTTTTTATTTTCCAACAAACACATCCAAACGTATAATTTACTAAAAAGTGAGGAAAAATTTCGGAAATTATGTCATTTCAGCATTATTTGTAATACACCGTTGTGGAATCAGAAATAAACCACGTTTGAATTTGATTTCCCCCAAGCCCCCCCCCCTCTATCAGTACGCCAGTATCTCCTCTTTTCCTTTTTTTTCTTTCCCTTTCCTTCCTTCTCTCTTATTTTTTTTTTGATTGGGGGGGGGGGGGTTAACAGCCTGGGAGGCAAGGCCCTTTCGGCCCCCCTTCTTCTTCCCCCTTTACTTTTCTTCTTCCTCTTCTTTCTTTCCCCTTTTCTCCTTTTTCCCTTTCTCCCTTCTTTTCCTTCTTCTCTCTTTTTTTTTTTTTTTTTTTTTTTTGCGGGGGGGGGGGGCCAAGGCCCGCTCGGCCCCCCCCCCTGGATCCGCGCCTGGTCACATCACACCAGTCCTCAAATCACTCCATTGGTTGCCCGTAGAAAAACGTGTTGTTTTCAAGATTATTTTGCTATTATTTCACTGTATACATGGCTCTGCTCCGCAGTATAACATCGGCTTGATTAAGCATTACTTTCCTTCTAGACAGCTACGTTCTCAAAACTCTGGCTTACTTGTTACTCCTAGGGTTAAAACAAAGTGGGGGGAACGAACCTTCGCTCATGCTGGGCCTTCGTTATGGAATACTCTCCCTCAATGGGTTAAGAATAGCAGTTCTGCTGAGGTGTTAAAAAACAATCTTAAGAAATATCTGTTTAATTTAGCTTATAATTGATTACCATTACCTTTCATGTCTGTACCTTTCCTATCGCACTTTGTATAAATGTATCATGTATGTATTTCATCTTTTGCACAAGCTGCGCCTTGAGCATTTGACTGTCAAGTGGATTTGGCGCCTTATCAATCATATGTATTATTATTATTATTTTAAAAGACGTAAAATGTTGATTCAAATCATTCATATTATCTATTATCATGGGAGATTTTATGTTCTTGGTGTGGAATTTATGAAAGTCTAAAATACTGACTTGAATTTTTGCTTTTGAATATATTTCATTAAAAGGCTACACATGGCTCTCCATAATTGTTAAGTCCATCTTAGAGTTAAGTTTGACTTAGAATCTTTGTGAAACACCCCATGGTCTCGATTCAAGCGTAGACAAGATTTTGTTCGCTTTGTAGAAATTTCACAAAAAAATAAGCAGTATTACAGGAGAAAAAGGAATGTTTACCGACAGGTGGTTATTTCATCAAATCTGCTCTCAATTAACATAAGAAAAAGGGGACCAGGGTACCGCTTAGGCATTGTTTACTATATAGAGGGCCTTAAAACCAAACAACAACAACAACTACAAGTAGTGCAGTCCAGCTCTAAAGCTTCACATTAATTGTTTGTCTCATCCAGTTTTTTCTCACTGTATATTCGATAGACCACATTGTCAACAACTGTTTCTTATTTCTTTCCAACAGTTCAATGTGGATCGTCCGACCCTTGTCACAATGGAGGAACGTGTCAGGAGGATAAATGCGTTTGCGTCGAGGGCTTCAGCGGAAACTTCTGTCATTTAGGTAAAAAAAAAAGAAGAAGTCATATCTGTATTGTCACAAGTTGTGCGACCCAAGATACGGGTGTCACTAGAAGGACATTTAAAGGGTGAAGTTACTCCATTCATATTTCTGTTGACAAACTCTACGTTTCTCTAGACTGCAGGTAAATATAATCAGGACGATGTTTTGGGTTTTGTAGAGAATTTTCTTTATATACAGTGCGTCCCAGATAAAACAAAACCGAGAATTATCGATGTTTTATCATAACTTAATCACGATTATAATTGTGTATATATAGGGATGTATATCACAAACATTCTAACAAACGTTTCCCAAGGGCCAGGTTAGGGTAGCCCAAAAACCCAACCCGACACGGAGCATGATGCAACAAATTAAGCCCCCCTCCTCCACACTTTTTTGAAAGGCTGAAAGGCCGGAAAAACCCCAGGATTCACAAATATGCGCTGGACTGCTAACTGTTTAAGTAAATCGCTGTATCACTCTCGTTGTGTGAGCTCGGTGTAAAGGACGTGCACATTATATTGAGCCATAGGATAAGATATTTTAAAGTCCTTGGAAGATTAAAATTGTTGTTACCTGTTTATTGCTTTTCAATCATATCATACATTTGTAATCTTTAAAATTATAAACGTTTCATTCAGAATCTGAAAGGTCTTTACCTTCGTACTTTCTGGTGCCACATCATTTGATAGAGCAACTGTTATCTCTAATTGTTTTCAGATGAATGTAATAACCGTTGTCTCAATGGAGCGAGCTGTGAGCAAGGCGTTTGCGAATGTCTAGCAGGATTTGATGGCGATATGTGTCAAGATAAGCGTAAGTATCTATAATATTTTGTTTGTGCTGGACGAATTCCTGTTCATGACTTTGCCAGAATGTTTGAACAACCCGTCTGCTTGAACACACACTCACACTCTCACCCGCACACCCATACACACCCTAATTACCGCAATTTTTGCTTCTGACACCTGAGATGAAATAAAAAAAGGGTGACGTAATTGACATTTTCTTTGCTCTTGACAATTCTCTTATACCAGTTACATCTGTTGAGTGTGGAAGTACTTCAATGACGGTCAACGTAGATGCACGGCTAGTCCGAGGGGACGCATCTGGTGTTCATTTTCATAACCGATCCTGCAACGGCGTAATCAACGCTACCACTGATATCATCACTCTCACTACAGACTACAATGAATGTGGCACCATCTTAGAGGTAAGACTCCTTAAATGATAACTGGTATGAATCACCCTTGATCCCATGGCTACCATACCATGGGCGTGTGCAGGATTTTTGAAGAGGGGGTTTAAACATAATGTTTGGCTCCCAGTAGAGCGCAGCCCAACTGCGTTGGGTCCATGGGCAGAGCCTCAATATGTTTAATTTGAAGTTTGTTGCGACAGGCATGACATGCTGGCATAAATGCAATTCTATCTACTTTCATTCAAAATATTCTTTTAAGTACCGATTGTCAAAGTCCCGGAATCTATCCTGCTCTGCATCCGATTCCGCAGTGTTGTTGACGTGTCTGTGTCTTTTCCTCTTTGTAAACTTAGGAAATATCATATGACGGTGATAATGTTTTTTGACATCTTATTCCGCTACGATGGCACTTGATGTTAAAATCAATAAAGAAAGTGAATTTGATGCACAAAGAAGTTAACAATGTATTTTGTCCATTTTCACATCACATTAACCCTTATTGTACTGGGCTATTTTGAGCACCCACTCGGCCGTCGATTGTCCGATGAAAACGAAAATTTGCATGTTTGTAGATATTTACGAAAGGAACAAGATGGTATAATTAGTTTTTTTCCGAATATGCAAATTTTTGTCGTTAGCCTAATTAATTTTGCAAAATGCGCTAATTTTATGCATTTTACAGAAAACGTGTCAAACTCCTCTTTTTGAATGTTGAAACTCATTAGTCATATGAAACTTCTTTTCTAACACAAAAAAGTTATTTTAATGTAATTAATAATGATAATTTATGCAAATTTTGATGCGATTTTTTTTTTTTTTTTTTTTTATGACATGCGCATACTTATTGTTATGTAACGCCTTACAGGTATATCCGATTTCGACGAAAATGGTATCAAAATGTCCGTAAGACTTGAGGGGAAAAAGTCATGAAACGACGATTCAAAATTCCAAGCGGTTGCGGCGCAATCTTCGAAAATGTCTTTATAAATAATTGGTTTTTGAAGTTTGGAGAAACTTGGGTTTCAATTCTATCTCAAGCTATCCATATTGTTGTCCTTACATATATATGAACTTGTCATTTGATACGCATTATACAACGTTGTGTCACGTCTCCCGGATGATCAGTAAAGCTATGGTCACATCCCCAAAAGTAGCCTGCTCGGCGGCCGGGTGGCGAGTTTATAGCCAACTTCGTCCGGCCACCGAGCGGCGGCCGCCCGGGCACTGCTTGTTTTTGTTGAGCAGGCCACAAATCGATCGGTCGCCGCTCTGACTTGTGATCATAATTCAACGAAACTGCCTATCATGTCTTGAAGGACAGTGCGCGACTCTCAATTTATTCACTTTATTAATCGTTGGTCTCTTAGGAGCATTCGTCTTTCCTTTCATCGGGGGGGGGGGGGGGGGGGCGAGAGGGGCTTCTGCCCCAAAGCCTCCGGACACCAATGATTACAACAAAAGTTAACACCAGCATTTTGGTATGGGTGATTATATGATTACATCATGATGGTATACTTCATTATTGTAATGAGAAGTAATTCTTTCTATAACTCAGCATTGGGGATATAACCGGTGATATCGCCCGAACTGTAACTCCATGTATTACTGATTCATGTTCATATTCAGTAATGCCATTACAGGACAGAGAGAGATACAACATTAACCTCAGCGTCATCTTAAAATCTCAAAAATAAAGTATTATACATTAGAATGTATACATCAGTCTTTCGACACAAATCAAACAGGATACTGGGTTTCATTTTTTGTTTTGGTAACATTAATTAATTTGATTTTACTTGCTGTCATTACAGGAGGATAACACAACTGTTACCTTTTCTAACGTTATTACGTACGCCAAGCCTGGTTCGGAAGATGGTACGGTAATCACCCGTAAATATCACATGCAGGTTCGGGTTGAATGTTGCCTCAAGAAAGAGGAAGTCATCAGTGGGTCCTTCAGACCACAGCTTGGTGAGGTGTCCTTTAGTGACAAGGGCTCTGGTGACTTCAGTATGAGACTCGAAAGGTTCCAGACAAATGCTTTTGATAGAAGTGAATCCGAAACCACCTCCGTTGTCGGGAAAGGAGATGACCTCTACTTTGGTGTGTATCTTGAGTCGGTACCAGGCGTTGGTATGTTTATCGACAGCTGCTGGGCGACAACCACTCAAGACTCAGACAAAGAGCCACATTACTCTCTAATTTCTTCAGGGTTAGTAGAACTTTTCATGAGCCTCAAGAAATATATATCATATAGTGATGGGATAGTGGTTCATTCACTTGACTCTTAATCCAAGGGTTAGAGTTTCCAATACAAGTCCGGCGCTTAGGTCTTTTGGCAAGACATTAATCCACATTTGCCATTCTCCACCCAGGTGTTATTCGGTAACTGGTTTACTGCTGGGTAATGATACTTTGAAGGCCCTCAGGAAAATTGGCATTGATGCTGATGAGGCTTCTTGCCTTACTTCGTTCTGTCGGGTGTTCAAGTCGGGTTCCACAATCTTTCTTAAAAAGTAACCTCAAAATTACGAAAAGTCGTGTGCTTCATGTTGTCGGGTTAAACGATATTTTGTGAAAATATCCCCCAATGGTCAGGTAAACTTAATGCAAATAATCATGTTTTCAAAGATGCTCTTTGAGATACCGATACAGAATACAAAATAGTACAATGAATATTAGTGGCAAAAATATTCAGTCCTGACTGATTGCCAAACAAATATGAATAATATTTCAACAATAACGAGGATTTGACCGCTAGCCTTTTTTTAAAAAGAATGTATGTAACCCGTATTAAAAGTGCTGGGCCGAGATACAAGTTTTCTTAGATTTGATGTAGGTTTTTCAGAGTGTCTAGTAAACTAGACGCAACACTTTGGCGTTGGGTGGGAAGCATTTCACAAACATTATACCTAACCCTTGGGGATTCATGACTTGATTTTTCACGAAAGTTTGTGTAAACCGAAGACGCAATGAACCGATGGAACAAAATAAGCCAGGCTTCTATGGGTAAACAAAGTTAGTAGAAGTAGTGGTAGTGGTGGTAGTAGCAGTAGTAGCAGTAACAATAGTAATCGTTGTTGTAATCATAGTACAAATTGTACACATTTTTGGTGTTGTTATTATTATCATTATTATTACTACGATTAATATTGTTCTTCTTCTTCAACTATATTTCATGATTTCCGGCCGTTCTCCCACGGCTATGACTCCTGCTAACTCGAGTACATGTTTCAATTGGTTCTACAGTTGCCCGGATGATGAAACAGTTGCTATCTATCGTCTCCTTGGATTGAATCGAGAAGGCTTTTCTTTTAGTGCATTTGCCTTTGTTGGAGATTACACTGAGGTGAAATATTTACATGGAATGAACTTATACACCTAATTTTATTACAATTTTGTTAGCCAATTTCATGAGAATGGAAGAAGAAAAATAAGCTGTAGGATCTAGGTCTTAGATAAGTCATGTCTGCCCTGTCTCTTTGGGCTCAGTAATTACCTACATGTAAATGAATCGCAAAGTCTTGAACACATTCACTGAGCTCCATGGTAAAAGATACAGAAACCTGGAATCATATTACATATTGCGTCATCTTTTTAAAGACTTTCTTTAAAGCCTTTTTTGTCTTTCTTTGATCAAAATTGCTCACCTTGAAGGGGAAGTCCACCCTGATATTAAGTTGGTTTTGATAACGACAGAAAAATGAGAGAAACAAATAAGTGAAAATTTGAGCAATATCCGGTTAAAAATAGGAAAGTTACGGTATACAAAATTGTAGTTATCTTCAGTGAAACACAAATTTAATTGCAACGCTGTGAGGTACCATAAGAGCTCCTCTCCATTTCGCCCTATACATAGAACTTCGTAAACTTTTATTTTCTTAGTTATTGATGATGGAATAGATATGTTTCATACAGGGGTTGTTTAAAAATACATATTTGCAATAATCTTATTTAGGGCGAATATATGGTTGAAAATTTCTGAAGATAAATATAGATTTCTGACATTACATGGCAGAATGGAAGGGCACTCACAAGATACGTCACAGAGAAGCCAATTATTTTCGATTGATTGCACCTTTTTTTTTATATAGATTTAGTTAAAACTTTCACTGACCTGTTTCTCTCACTTTTTCTGCTTCTATTACAACCAACTTAATATCAGGGTAGACTTCCCTTTTAAAAATTAGGGAAACTTTAAAAGCACATGTGGTTGGATGTTTAGATAGTATCAAAAAATGTATTGTAATGCATGCATCATCACATATGTTTTTTCAGGTGTACATTCACTGTTCAGTGAAGGTCTGTGGTGCCGCGAAGGCTCAATTGTTTCGAGACGCAGGATGCCCCTCAGAAACTCCACCTCCCGACCGCAAACGTCGATCTTCGTCCTTTCTGTCCACTCAGACAATCAGTAATGGTCCGATTCACATCCGTCGCTCAACCAGCGATATGGTTACTGATGGTATGAACTATTTTTTAACAACCATTTAAAAAACCTGAATTTGTAACATTTTCCTCATAGATAACTAAGTACACCCAGTTTCGATAATCCTTTACAGGACAAAAATAAGGATTGGAATATCTAGAAATATACCATTAGAAGATTCTCACTTCTATTTCTACTAGAAGGTGGAGGGGACGGAGAGGAAGGGGGAGGGGGGTGATGAGGAGGAGGGGCAGGGGGGTCATTCCCTGTTCCCATGGATACGTATGTGAATATATCTAATCCACATCCAATTGTTCTACCATATTTTATCTTTTCCAATATCCACAGATTTGTCTTCCTACATCCCCTTTGCGATGCTCCTCCTTGGAATGATAGCAACATTGGTTGCTATGGCAATCCTGATGGGTGGTCAACCTTGTTCGTATCTCGACTGATATCAATTACTACGAGCGAGTTCCCATTGAATCCATTGAAGGAATTTAGAAGTAATAAAGAAGTGCTCCAAAAAGGGCCATCGAATAGAAAACAGTAGAATAAGGAAGTTCATAACGTTTCTTCTCATGTATTTGTAAAAATCTCTCGTTTTGTCTCGTCTAGATTATTGTAATTCGCTACTCCATGATTTATCGCTTGAAGATCTTAACTCCCTTCACCTCCTCCAAAACAAAGCAGCATGGCTCGATCATTCATTGTAAACAAAAAATTGTCCACGTCTCCCCTCTCATCACTGATCTTCACTGGCTACACGTTAATAATCATATTATACACTTTCAAGTGTTTCAATAACCAGGCCCCAGCATAGCTAGGTGATCTATTCCGTTTGCACACATCCATGTATATACACGATCAGCCAGTAGTAAAACACTTACCGTCTCTCGAACCAGTAAACACTAACCAGAGAGGTGATAGATACTCTTATGTTATTGCTCCAAAGACCTGGAACTCCTTACCCCATGTACTTAAGAATTGCCTTACTCTCAGTTTTCAAAAAGTGTCTGAAAACACTTTTCTATTTTGTTCCTCTCGGTATGTAATTAATGTAAGCTTCGTAAGATAATGTTGTCTCTTTCTGCTTGTAAGTGGTGGTGGTTGGTGGTGGTTATTTTACCTGACTAAGAAGGCATACATGCTTGTAAGTAAGCAACCAGACGGTCAATGGCTTTAGGTCCTCTCAGAGTGACCTGGTAATGAGGATTAATGCCTTTACTTGTATGCGCTTTGTGTCTAATCAAAATTATAAATTTAATATTATTATTATCATTATATATTATTATCTATATAAGGGTTCCAAGTGGTACAATAAATCAGTGTATTCAATATCTTTAGCGCAGTACCTGGATGACTGACCAATATTGTTTTCTTATTGCTAAGTCATCCGGGAACTTCAACTATCGATTTCAATATCATATTGATATCACACGAAAACAAAGCCATATTTACTGAGTCAAATTTTGATATTTTGCTAGTCAGACTAATATAGATAATAATAATAATATAATAATATTGTATGGCTTTGTTTTCGTGTTATAAAAGAATATATTGTTCTCGCTAAGACATTATTAGACTTGTCTTCAACTCATCCAATATTGTCATAGCTTGAGCAAGATATTCTTGTATCACATTCAAAGCCATCCAATATTGTATAAATATTAATGAAAAATTTATTCTCTACCGACAGCAGTTATTTGTTATTTGTATATATTTATCATGTATTTCATCTTTTACACAAGCTGCGCCTTGTTGAGCCATACATATCTTATATACTATTATAATTATTATTATTTGAAAATCTTAAATATAAATAGTGTCCAATGTTTGTATTACTACTACTAATAATAATAATCTATTTTGAAAGGGGCAGCTTTCATAAAAGAGATTGATATAACCCAGAACAAAATAAATAAGATCATAGAAGTAAGGAATCTTGTAGTCATTGGTCATTTTGTTTTGTATCAAACTCATGATTTTTAGAAAATCTTAGTTTCAACCAATTATTTACCTCAAACCTTGTTATCAAAGAGCCCACCTATACGTCATAGCGAGTACACAGTGGGTTAAATATGAACATAATCACACACACTTGATTCAGTCCATCTGGAGAAAAAACTTTAATATGTATAACCTGGTAGTATAATTGATGTACATTTATACTCAATATCTCCTTTTCTACTTTAAATGAACAACAATGCATCAAGTAAAATATCAAGACTTCAAACATATCAGTTTATAACTAAATCATTGATTTATCTTCTATTGCACAGTATACATACATCAATATCAAAATCAGTTTCTAATTAAATGCTCCAATTACATTAGTTTTCATTCACTCACTCTTCCTTTGTTTCTGAAAAAAGGCAACATGACCTACTTAAAGCAACCCTTTTTCATACACATCCCGCTAAGAGTCATGACATCTACAAATGCAATTACTTAATAATGCATCTTATTTGAATGTTTCTTATACAAAAACCCATATGTGTTTTGACAAGAAATGAACACATACTTTGATTGTTTTGGTTAAATAATTTGTAAAGAAGATATTTAATGTCCGAAGAACGTAAATTCCTCTTTGCCTAAACCACAAATACTCCTCCTTCATACATGCCTTGTACATGCTTTCATCATGGATAATTGCAAGCAGCTTATTGACTCTTAAGCAGATCACAACATGCTTAAAGTGTTCCAATCACACACACAAAGATTGATCAGTATGCTAAGGGTTTTATGTTGCTTTTATTCAAAATATGACCTTCAAATCTTACTTCTTGAAAGTTAAGGTACACTCTGAAAATTGACTTTAAGTAGACTATTTGACTCGCGGATATGTGTTTGCATAGAAAAGGCCCGCATGGAACTCGAGTCTAATTTGGGCTCCTTGAGCATGGTTTCATTTTATTCTTTCTTTTCTTCTTACTCCTTACTCTTTGGCCCATGGAATGCCATATAAACTTTATGAGGTTGATATGATATATTCTCGTTGGACAAAAATTACTTGTTAAGATAATTTGTATGATTTAACAATGTACTTTACATTCATCTTATACATGTACATCCTAAACACTGTGTTCACATTCAGAAACCTCTATTTTCTGACATAACAAATACATAAAACTTAATTTTATATGAACATAGCCTATGTTGTAGCCTTAATAGGGGAAAATGATTTGTGAAACCAACATACAGTGTGAGTCCAAAAAAAAGTTTACACCTAGGAAATTGCTAATTATTTAAAAAATCATCAATGAACAGTAAATGATTATACATCTTATGAAAGCGTGTTTTATCCCAAATCATTTGGTATCATATTTGTGTGGTATGTGTTCAGTCACGCTTGGATGAACAGGAGACATTGTTTGTGAGAGTACAAAAATCGATATGTGCCAAAGTTGCTTGTGTGATGTTTGAATAAAACAATTGGGATTTGGGTATTAATTCAGTCTTTGCAGATCCAAATAACATCCCTAACAAAATTAATCATGCCACACATATCAAATATCGAATATCAAATATGAACGAACATGTGTGCACGCGTGTGTGTGTGTGTGTGTGTGACTTTGCTTATGAGTGGGTGGGTGAGTATGTTTGTGTGATAGAGGGTGAGTATGTTTGTGTGATGGAGGGGGCAGGGAGGGGGCAGGATTGTTTCAGTAAAATTACCTCCAGATTTGTTTAAGTTTTTTTTTGTAATATATAAGTAAATAACATTTACAATTGACATATTATGTTTAGGTACTTATACGTTTACTTTGTTGCTAAGTTATATTATACTGCAAATAAGTTTGTGTTTAATTATGTTTATGTAAAAGCATCAATATTGAACACGTTAATTTTATTCAATTGTATGTCATGGTTTGTATCACACATCTGGAGAAATAAAACAAATTTGTTAAAAAAAAAATTAAAAAAATTATGCAATGCATTTCATTTGATACATTAAATTCATTCTCTCACTCCGGTAATCCGAACATAATACATGCTGTAGGCATCAGTTTGACGCAAGTCGATTTTTGCACTCTCGCAAACAATGCCTCCTGTTCATTCAAGCGAGAACACATACCACACAAAAATGATACCAAATGATTTGGGATACAACACTGTTTTATAAGATGTATAATAATTTACTGTTCATAGATGATTTTTAACAAATTAGTAATTTTCTAGGTGTAAACTTTTTTTGACTCACACGGTAATAAGGCATTAAAATACACCAGTGTCTCGTCTATCAAATACAATTTTGAAATATTAACAAACATATTAATGCAGCATTTTACACATTTGCATCGTACAAAGAGGATATATTACAAGCATCTCTTTGGGTAATACACAGATACAGTATACAGAAGTATCTAGATTAATACTCGTACATTGAAGTGAACAGGTACAATGTACATAGACAATAGTCACAACCCTTGTTAAATAGGTTTATACTCCAGATGAATCGTTTCTCTTAGGTATAGAATTTGCTTTCAGCAAATATGTTACAGCATAATACCTTTCACATTACTGCCAATTCCTATTTATACCAATTTTAAGCAGTTTATTTGAGCCACATGAAGTGCAGACAATATTCACATCTTAAGTACAATTAAAAGTTGCCGACAACAATATAAAATATATTCATTGAACTTTAAGAAACCCCCAAAACCAATAAATTTTGACTAATCCTGAGGATCAAAAGCATATGAATATGATTTCATCTGATTTACATATATGTATGTAAGAATTCCTTCATAGTCTACATACAATTGTCTTGGGGATGAATTTAGTTTTTTTATAGCAAAATACCTCTACCATGTGTGGACTCTTTGCACATGTATCTATTGTGTTAAAACAACATTAATAAAAGAGGAGCATTATATATCTGTAGGTGCATGACAAGCAAGTAAGCAGTTCTTTCAATGTTCATTGACAAACCTTCAAAACTTGCTGATAAAGGGTATTTTCTCTGAAATAAACGGTAAGGAAAAATGCAAACACAAAAGCTGTGTTGTCATTCAAAAACTTTCTACTTTAAAATCTTCTGTTTTTCATACCAAATGTAGAATTTACTGAGAGAAATATTGTTATCTCTCTAACTGTGTGTTTGGTGTGGAAAATAAAGATAAACCGTTTAGAATAGAGACAGAATAAAAAGGAAATACAAAGCGTATCGTCTTGAACAGGTAATGAACTCACTTGCGGAGGACGTGCTCAACTTTTGGATCATAGCGTATTGCCTTGACACGGTAATGAACTCACTTGCGGAGGACGTGCTCAACTTTTGGATCATAGCGTATTGCCTTGACACGGTAATGAACTCACTTGCGGAGGACGTGCTCAACTTTTGGATCATAGCGTATTGCCTTGACACGGTAATGAACTCACTTGCGGAGGACGTGCTCAACTTTTGGATCATAGCGTATCGTCTTGAACAGGTAATGAACTCACTTGCGGAGGACGTGCTCAACTTTTGGATCATAGCGTATTGCCTTGACACGGTAATGAACTCACTTGCGGAGGACGTGCTCAACTTTTGGATCATGGCGTATTGCCTTGACACGGTAATGAACTCACTTGCGGAGGACGTGCTCAACTTTTGGATCATAGTGTATTGCCTTGACACGGTAATGAACTCACTTGCGGAGGACGTGCTCAACTTTTGGATCATGGCGTATCGTCTTGACAAGGTAATGAACTCACTTGCGGAGGACGTGCTCAACTTTTGGATCATGGCGTATCGTCTTGAACAGGTAATGAACTCACTTGCGGAGGACGTGCTCAACTTTTGGATCATGGCGTATCGTCTTGACAAGGTAATGAACTCACTTGCGGAGGACGTGCTCAACTTTTGGATCATAGCGTATTGCCTTGACAAGGTAATGAACTCACTTGCGGAGGACGTGCTCAACTTTTGGATCATAGCGTATTGCCTTGACACGGTAATGAACTGACTTGCGGAGGATGTGCTCAACTTTTGGATCATGGCGTATTGTCTTGACAAGGTAATGAACTCACTTGCGGAGGACGTGCTCAACTTTTGGATCATAGCGTATTGTCTTGACAAGGTAATGAACTCACTTGCGGAGGATGTGCTCAACTTTTGGATCATAGCGTATTGCCTGGACACGGTAATGAACTCACTTGCGGAGGACGTGCTCAACTTTTGGATCATAGCGTATCGTCTTGACAAGGTAATGAACTCACTTGCGGAGGACGTGCTCAACTTTTGGATCATAGCGTATTGCCTTGACACGGTAATGAACTCACTTGCGGAGGACGTGCTCAACTTTTGGATCATTGCGTATTGTCTTGACAAGGTAATGAACTCACTTGCGGAGGACGTGCTCAACTTTTGGATCATAGCGTATTGCCTTGACACGGTAATGAACTGACTTGCGGAGGACGTGCTCAACTTTTGGATCATGGCGTATTGTCTTGACAAGGTAATGAACTCACTTGCGGAGGACGTGCTCAACTTTTGGATCATAGCGTATTGTCTTGACAAGGTAATGAACTCACTTGCGGAGGACGTGCTCAACTTTTGGATCATAGCGTATTGTCTTGACAAGGTAATGAACTCACTTGCGGAGGATGTGCTCAACTTTTGGATCATAGCGTATTGTCTTGACAAGGTAATGAACTCACTTGCGGAGGATGTGCTCAACTTTTGGATCATAGCGTATTGCCTTGACTCGGTAGAACTTTGTACCCACTTGGACCTTGAATCTATTCTGCGCCTGTGATTAATGAAACAATCAAATGACACCGGTTCAGACATTAATAATGAAACAATCAAATGACACAGGTTCAGACATTCGTGGTCGAGTGGTTTAAGGCGCTTGACTGGACTGGAGATGCGAAGGTCGAGGGTTCGAATCCCGACACGGCACTAATATCCTTTGGCAAGATATTAACCTGCACTTGCTACTCTCCACCCAGGTGTCAAATGGGTACCCGGTAGGATGCGGCCGTCATTGTTGGTCAAACAGCTTGTGAGCGTCAAGTAACGCCAGGCTGGAAGATTGTGCACACAGTGTGTGCGGGCAAGCACTGAATCCAATGACCGGGGTAATAGTATATTTGTAAAGCGCTTAGAGACATTTGTATTAAGCGCTTGATAAAAATTAAATATTATTATTATTATCATTAATAATGAAACAATCAAATGACGCAGTTAGAGACATTGAGTCAGTAAGGGACAATCCAATATGGATTTCTTTCCCTGTGGCAGGGACTCTTCATACATTTGTCAGTTAGGCCAGAGATAAATATACATCATGTTGAATGGCATAGAGTACTACATAGGCATGGGCCCATGAATGGGGAATTTCCACACTCCTTCCCAATTTAACTCCATTTAGCGGACACAAATTTAGTGTCCTACACATTACAACTATTGAGGAGTTATGAACATAAATATAAAATGTATCATATCAGTTCATTATTTGGTCTGATAGTTGAGCTATTATTTACCTTTAACAACAATGATAAGATATACTGAAATCTCAGAACTGATTGGTAATGTATAAAGACTAAATATCTTAGACTTTTTCCAATACATTATTGTGTT